GGCCCGGGTTGGATCCTCAGCACCACATACAAACAAAGATGTTGTCTCTGCTGAAAACTAAAATGTAAATGAAATATTAAAAATAAATAAAATATATTTGATAGCTTTTTTGCATATGGTAAGGGTCTTCCCCAGAAATATCCTAACTTATCTCTGTATTTCTTTTATTTTATTTTTTGCAATGCTGGGTTTCAATCTCAGGGCCTCATGCCTGTTATGCAAGTGCTGTACCACTGAGCTATACCCTCAGCCCTGGGTTTGACTGTTTTGTGAGTTTCAGAAAGTTTATTCACTTCCCAGGTCTCAGGGAAAAGAACAGTTTACTTCAGTATGAGTAATGCAAGGACAAAGGACAGCTGCCTTGTGCTGCCAGGCCTGGTGCCCGTGGGAATGAAGAACCAGGTCTTAAGACTGCAGTAGCCAGGCAGGCTCTTCCAGACCTCCTCATTCTTAAATGTGCCTCAAATGTGATTTGGAAAACTATGTGCTAATCTATAAGCAATGGTTGTCAGAATTAATTGTGTGAAAACAAATATCCAGAGACTTTAAAGCTGTCAAGAGTCTCAGAGGGCTTTGGGGCTGTTTGAACAGTCACGGTTAAATAAGAAGCACAGGATGTCTGCAGAAGAGCATCAGATAACCTTAGGTAGATCTTACCTGGAATTGCAGAGGGGCGGGTATGTCAGGCATGCTGAGATAAGTGGCAGTTGTGGTTTGAAGTGACACTGAATCCTCTATGTTTCTCTCCCTCTGTGCAGTCCATTGATGACCTGAACAAATGGGCCCTGTTTCTTGTCTCTCCCTTTATACTTGAAGCAGAACACATAGCATTTGTGACAGAGAGCATTTGGGTACAAGGTGACAGTTTACAGAGACCATCTTCTGAAACAGTGAGTACTATGTTTTTTTTCCTTGTGTGTCATTTAGTTCTATACATGTCTTAATCCTAACCAAGTTTGTTTTTTTTTTAATGAGTGATCTTCCCTAGCTTTTGTAGGTGACTTGCTCTCTTTTTGGATATTTTGGATTGTCTCAAATGTATTGGTGTAATTTCTTTCACCTCTTTATTCTTATTTTTTTAATGTGACTATTAGAAAATTTCAAACCATGTGTGTGACTTTTTTTGTGGCTTACATTCTGTTCGTTTGGAACAGCATTGCTCCAAGCTCTCTTCCTGGCCAGTTGATTTCTCCCTACATCTTCTCACTCCCGCAGACAGCCTGAATGGCAGGGTTACATCTGTAGACATCCCACCCTGAGGATTCTGAAAATATGTCAAACTCAAACAAGTCACATGTCCAAACTTGTTTATGTTCTGTTTAAAAAAAAAAAGTCCCCAATTAACACCCGAATGTACTCTTCCTCTTACCTGCTCCTAACTTTCACTGAGTTCCAAGTTCCACTGATGTCACTCCCCAGAGGTCACGGCTTTGCACCTTCATTGCAGCTGCTCCTGAGTTCACTGTCATCTTCAATGTCTTCTCTTTACGCTGTGAAGATGTCTTCCTCTCCTTGGGTTTCCTCTCGATGACCAGAGTCACCGTCCCAGACACACTTCCAGCTGGGACCCTCTTGCGGAAGCTCTGGGTGCTGGTCTGCTTCCCCCGTGTCTCGGATGAATCACTCTTGTCTTTCTGCCTTCACCCACATGCAAGGCAGGTGCTCTACCACTGAGCTACAATGGGCAGGTTGTCCAGCAGGCATTCTGCTGATGACTGCTGTGTTGCTGGATTCTTGTCCTAAACATTGTCCTTAAGACACTGCATTAGGATGAGAGGAAAGGAAAGAGAATGGGGAGTAAGAAAAGAAATAATTCGCTGGAACTCAAGATTGACCAAAAGATGAGCTGCCTGAGGGAACTGGAGATAGTAAACGAGGGAAGGAGACTAGCTGAGACTCAGAAGACTGGGAGGATTTGACAGGTGACCCAACGGCAGGCCAGTGTGTGCTCTCTCTGGACCGTCCATAAAGTCTTGTTTAGCATTACATATACTTATGGTAATAATGATGCCATTTATTGAGCCCCTGATAGGTATTTTGCATACATGAGCTCTAATGCTTACAACTCTGCAAAGTATTATTGTTGTCATTTTAAAGATAAGAAAATGAGGTTGTAAGATTTAAAGACGTGTCTAAAGCCACCAGCTGCTCAGGGTAGACTAAGTTTTAGCCAATGTTCATGCCCTTCTAGTAGCTGGAGGACCAAACGGATGGTTTTGAAGCGATGTGGGGCATTGAGGTTCGAGAGTAGCGAAGCTTTTGTTGACCCAAAGACAGTCAAGCAGGACCCACAGTTGTTTTCCTGCATTAGGCAGAAAGAGACCAGTGGTTGAAGTAAAGTGTTTTGGTGAGCTAAGGTATAATTTTTGGTGTGCAGAAAAGACTATGAACTTTTTTAGAGAATGATTTCCAACTTAAATAACAAATGATCAATTAGGTAGATTTGAATTAAATTGCTGATATTTGACTTTTTTTTTTTTTAAACTTTGGAAGAGTCCACGTTTCTCTCTCGCTTTTTGGTACCAAGGATTGAACTCAGGAGTGCTTAACTACAGCCACATCCCCAGCCCTTTTAATTTTTTATTAGATACAGGATAGGATCTCACTAGGTTGCATAGGGCTTTGCTAAATTGCTGAGGCTGGCTTTGAACTTGTGGTCCTCCTGCCTTAGCTTCCCCAGTTACTGGGATTACAGGCAGGGTGTGTGGTACCTAGCCCAGCTAGTCCATGTCTCATGATAACCTTTTCTTTGAGCTTTTAAATCCAGCTTATCATTTTTATAAGTTCAGCAAAAATTTTGTCATCACTTTTCTTTTAAAAAAATATCTTTCTTTATTTTTGTGTGATGCTGAGGATCGAACCCAGTGTCTCACACATGCAAGACAGGTGCTCTACCACTGAGCTACAGCCCCAGCCCTTGTCATCACTTTTAAAGGGATTTTTGAATAATATTTATTCTCTTTACAGACTCAAGTGTTTTGAAGTATTTTTAAACTCTACTGCAGAGAATTTGCTTGATTATAATCCTGTGAAGAACGTGACCTCCTACTTGGTTTATGCGTGGTCCTCATCCGCTCATGAATTTGAAGTAATATAAATTCCCTTGAACCCATCCCTTAATATAGAAGCTAGAATATGTACCTGTGTGGGTCCTGCATGGAGTCCACCTACCTGCGCCCTCCCCTGGCTTCACCTTCCCTTCCCTCAGCTTCTTTTTAGATATGTAAGTTTTCTGGATGAGTAAACACCACCTTTCTGAACACTTACGTAACTCTTAGGTGTTTATTAAGTGTATAAATATGGTAAGTTTTTCTAATATATTTTAATATATTAGAAAAATAATATAATATATTTTAATATTACTTATCAATCTTACTAGATTTTAATTTAAAACCAAAGCTAGGATTTCCAAAATATTATAATTACATATAATATCAAATATGGACAGATTCTTCTTAACACAAAAATATATATAACTGCTGTTTTTTTTTGTTTTGTTTTGTTTTGTTTTTGATTTTGGTGCTGGGGATTGAACCTAGGGCCTTGAGCATGCTGAGCACATGCTGTACCATTGAGCTACGCCCCCCAGCCCCTAACTGCTATATTTTAATTTTTTAATTTTTAATTACTTGTGGGGTAAAGTGACATGCAATATCTTAAGAAACAAAGTTACCATATTATGTGGGGTTCAGGCTAAGGTGCTATAACGAAGAAATCCAAAACTACAGTGGCTCAAGCAAATTAGAAGTTAATTTCTCTCTTGAAGTGGTTCTGCTCTGAATGTTGATCCAAGGGCTGGGTTTCCTTTGCCTTATTGCTCTGCTGTCCTGGTGATTGATAGACAGCTTCTTGAGGTGGAGGCTGGCTCCTGCCCTCTCCTGCTACTCCACAAGTGACACCTTCATCCATGTGGTAGCCTGCAGAATAGGGGAAGAGAGAAAGTGGAAGACAACCAACTTCCTCTTTGAAATTGTTATCCAGAAATTTCTCATGCCACTTCTGTTCCCACCAGATTGCCTAGAACTTAGTCATAGGGTGCCCTTAGGCACTTAGCTGCAGGGGAGGATAGCAGATGCATTCCCTCAGGGACACGCACAGGTCTGTTACCACCAGGCAGGGAGAAGGGAAGACTAGGTATTGGGACGTAGTTAGCATCTCTGCCCAGTTATCATCTCCCTTCACCTACTTTCTGAGTTGGTTACCTGACTCTTAACTTTCTGGGGTGAAAGACGTCTGTGCACTGAGGCAGACTGCCGCTTTTCAGTTCACTTGTTTTACTTATGGCTGGAGAGTTTGGGGGATCTTGCACGAAGGTGCTAGAGACACCTACAGCCTTTCTTTTCACAACCCTGGCTGTGGTGTGGAGCTTCCTTTTATAAGCTGGGCTTAATACCTTGAAGAAGGGTTGATCTCGTAGCTCGCTGTCTTCTCATCAAGCCTGCAGCTCCTATTCAGGTTGGTTGCTCGATGGGATTTTGCCTTTTGGGGGGCTCTTATGACCCTATGCATGTATATTTCACACAATTCTGAACTATTTGACTTTCACAGGGTCCCAAGATATTAAATAGAAAATAGGAAGAATATACCTAAGAAATATAACTAAGAAAAGCTTTTGAATCTGATGGCATCTTACTTCTCTCACATTTATGATGATATCTTTTTAAATTCTGCATATCTCAAATAGTTTTGATTTGCAGTCCTTCTATAGACCTCCAGCAAAAGAATTCAGCTTTAAAAATGTAGCATTCACATATTCATATTTTCACTTATTTGTTCATTAACAAATCTAGTTATTTTGCCAGGTGCAGTAATAAATACCAAAGGTGATGGCAGATTCAGCTCCATTCTCAATTATGTTAGCAGTCCCCTTTTGTAAGAATTGATGACACAGAGTACTTACACAAACCTTTTTATTTTTAATATATTTTTTAAAATTTTAGGTAGACACAATATCTTCATTTTATTTTTATGTGATGCTGAGTATTGAACCCAGTGCCTCATGCATGCTAGGCGAACACTCTACCACTGAGCCATGACCCCAGCCCACTTACACACAACTTTTGTTTCAACATATTCCCTTGGGTCAAGTGTCCAGCCGAGGCCTCAACCATTAGTTCAAGATTTATTGAATACCTCCTATATATCAGATGGTGTGCCTGGGCTGGAGGTCTATGTCATATAGAGATGACATAGATGCATTCAGAGATGACATCCCTGTCCTTAAGGAGCTCCTGGTGTGGGAGGGCAGACAGCCAAGCAAAGGGACAGGTGCTTGGAGCTGTGGAAGGCAGACACAGGGAGTGGCTGGAGGCTATTTTGATGAGGGGAGGTCAGGAAGGACTTCCCAGGGGGAAATGATAGCTGAGTTTCAGGGGGAAGTCAGGTTGTAGGTGAAGAAGGGAAGGGCTTTCTAGATGGAGCAGCACCTGGGCCCAGGGCTCAGTAGGGTTGGAATCTGTTGATCTGAGACTGGGAGTGGCCCAAGGGGAGGCCAGGGGCAAAAGGTAGGGCTGGAGTGTTATGTGGGAAAGTACCTTGATGCACTGATAGCTTCCAAGGACAGGGCCAGGTAGGCTCTCCCTGCC